TGAGGTGAAATGGGGTTTAACGTCGGGTTAAGATTATTGCACTTATATAGCGACGTGCATGGACGTGTGTGTGTTTTTGTGGCTGCTTGTACTAGTCCGGACTGATGCCGATTTAAAGTGCTAGCTCACTGAGATACCATGCCGCAGTTTAACATAAATACCCCACTCAGACACAGTATACTGACTCCGAGCCGATCAGTCCTTGTTTTAGACCCTTAATGCCGAGCGCCAGAGAGGGTAACAACAAGCACTGGAATGTCTGGCCCAGACTCGATTATTTACAGACTGCCGTCATACAGCTGGAATATTGCTGAGTGCGGCGTTAAACAACAAACAAACAAACAAATTCTGTAGAAAGCAATATTTATTTATTTATAATAACACTAAAAACATTTCGAATAGCACTTATAGGTTCACATGTAGCTCGCGCGAACTCTTTATCGAGACGGGAAGATATATGGGGATATTAAAAGAACACAGAATTTATGAATTTTTTGTGAGGTGAGGTGAAAGTTGGTTTAACGTCCAATCCAAGATTATTGCACTTGTATATCGACGTGCATGTGTGTGTGTGTGTGTGTGTGTGTGTGTGTGTGTTTGTGTGTGTGCGTGCGTGCGTGTGTGCGTGTGTGCGTGTGTGGCTGCTTGTACTAGTCCGGACTAATGCCGATTCTATAGTGCTAGCTCACTGAGATACCATGCCGCAGTTGAACATGAATTTCCCACTCAGACACAGTATACTGACTCCGAGCCGACCAGTCCTTGTTTTAGCCCCTTAATGCCGAGGGCGAGTCAGGGTAACAACAAGTAACATATTTTTACGTCTTTTGGTTTGACGAAGACGGGGATCGAACCCGACCTTCCGTCCTCTCAGTATTGTGAATAAACACTATTGGACCTTGCCCAAATCTTCTCGTAACGGATGTGAACTCTTCCTTATGAGACGGCATAATTTGCAAAATTCCCACAGCTATAGAAACACGAAAATGTATTTAAGTAACAAAATACTTTTGAAGCCTTAATGTGAAGAAAAATAACTCATTTTCAATGTAAACCTATTCGTGTTTTTGTCAGTTTGTAAAGAGTGGACAAATGAATACATCGTGTTACGGGTCCTCGAAGTCCTGACTGCCTGTTTAGGGTTCAGGATGTATATGTCTGAGAAAGCGAAAGTATTTCATATATAGCACAGCGAAATACGTCTGAAGACACAATGCTCTTTGTAATGAAATAATAATTACATCAATTAATACAATCAACAAGTTGGTCCAAGTTGCTCTTGAGTGATCCCAGCCAGGCCCAAGTTGCTCTAGAGTGATCTCAATCAAAGCCGAAGGTGCTCTTGAGTAATCTCAGCCTAGGCCCAAGTTGCTCTTGAGTAATCTAAGCCTAGGCCCAAGTTGCTCTTGAGTGATCTCAGCCTAGGCCCAAGTCACTCTAGAGTTATCTCAGCCTAGGCCCAAGTTACTCTAGAGTGATCTCAGCCAAAGCCGAAGGTGCTCTTGAGTGATCTCAGCCAAAGCCCAAGTTGCTCTAGAGTGATCTCAGCCAAAGCCCAAGTTGCTCTAGAGTGATCTCAGCCAAAGCCGAAGGTGCTCTTGAGTGATCTCAACCTAGGCCCAAGTCACCCTAGAGTAATCCCAGCCTAGGCCCAAGTTGTTCTTGAGTGATCCCAGCCTAGGCCCAAGTCACTCTAGAGTGATCTCAGCCTAGGCTCAAGTTGCTCTAGAGTGATTTGAGTTTAGCTTCCTAGACCTGACACATGGGTTTTGAGAGTGAGATAATGAAGATAGGTTAAAACAAGTACATTATAAAATGAAAGTTTTACTTTTCTTATCAAAGAAAATGCAAACGGTTCTGGCTACGGCAAGCATAGAACTTTAAGTATCTATGTTTCAGGTCAGTCGATAAGATAAGCATTATTATTGACAAGAAAAATATCCTTGATATAACGAACCCGATTCACCCTAATGTTGATCAAAGATATTATTAATGTTAGTAACTAATTTCGGATATAACAAACTTATCATCACGTAGGGCATCCTTGGAGTTCGGTATATCCGGAGCTGACCGTATTAGTCAAATACAACTCAAGTTAAAGGAGGACTCCACTGGCGATTCCCATTTTCACGTTCGGTATACACCTTTTATGTAGCTGGGGAGTAATTCTAACCCGGAATACCCACAGACAATTATCGCTAAACTGGCTAAAATTGAAACAAACATAGTTGTGTTTTGGACCTTAAGTTTGCAGGATGCAGCGTTTTGGCGATTGTTTTCAGCCTAACGTTTTAATAAAGTTTGTAATTGTTTGTTCAAATCCATTTTGTATGTGTATACTTTCTTTTACCCGGCAGTATGTATTCTCAAAGGAAAATAATATGACCCTTGCATATCCGTTAGTAATTGTAGGAAAATGCCGTAAGTATTTGAAGCGATAGTAAAATATGTCGTTCAATCCAGCAATCCGAAAACTTTCGGGGAAGAGGAACTTTCAAAATCTCATCTTTCATGACTGAAAGAAAGTAAATTGATAAACGTCAAACATCCCCTCGTCTATCTCTACTTACTGCAATCAGACACTCGTGCTGTGCCAGGACCAGGGCCACTTCATCACATTTGTCGTACTGTAGCTACGCGAGGTCAGTCAGAATCAATTTCGTCTGTCAACCCCACACAGCTATATGGAGCTTCTCTCAATACAGTTGATGCTCACCATTCATTAGTGTGGTTGCGCGGATGGCCAAATGTGTTTTAAAATATGTTGCAGAGTTGCGTCCCTTTGCCGTGCCAAGATCAGCCTATCGTTGGTTCTGATCCAAGATTGACACCGATTGCCATCCTTGGTGTGTTAGTGGGGTTCTTGAAAGTGTTCCGACATTAAGCTGACATTCCGCGATACAACGGACATAAGGGAGGTGGAGGTAGCCTTGTGGTCGTCACGCACATGGTCCGGGTTCGCTTCCCCACATAGGTAAAATGTGTGAAGCCAATTTCTGGTGTCCCCCGCCGTGAGACTGCTGGAATTTTGTTAAAAGCGGCATAAAACAATACTCACGACTGAAATATTGTCAAGCGGATGTTAAACGTCTCAACTCATAAACTTGGCTGTGTTTGTTCAGCCCATTCCTTATAAGCAGTATATAGGATTTTGTAGTATATTTTCCCAGACTAATATTCATCTGGATTCCGGGATAGATATTCCCCAGCAACCTATTAGATATGCTTGTCTTAGGAGGCGATTTTAATTAATCGGGTGGTCAGGCACGTTGCCATGATTGATTGAGTTAATATCGTATATCAATCACTCATGTGCTTCCTCCATTTGCCGAATCAGACAGAACAATCGATAAAAGTGTCAGAACTTCTTACATTAATGTACTAGTTTTTCTGGAAGGCATGGGACCTTATCACGTTTACAGACCACACATTTGACAAGAATCAGTTCTGAATAACGCACGTGAAGACCCGGGTTAGACATGGTTTTCAGCAACCCATGCTTTTCGTAAGAGGTGACTATGCTTGTAAAAGGTTACTAACGTGATCGGGTGGTCAGGCTCGCGGACTGGGTGTATGCATATCATCGTATCCGAATTGCGTGAATCGATGCTCATGATGTCAATCGCTGAATTGTCTAGTCCACTATCGATTGGTCAGAACACCGCGATATAGCTGGAATATTGCTGTGTGCGGCGTGTAGGAAATAAAACAATTTTAGTCTCAGCTGTCTCGATCTAATAACGGTAATGTGGCTAAAATGGATATATGATAACCTGTCATTACAAATAAACTGAATAATTACTTACAAGAAGTATACAATAAGAGTATAACAATATAAGTATAATACAGTATCGTCTTAAAATAACAACGGAAGCCAGTTATCGCGACTGTGAAGCTGTTCTGGGGATATACAAAGGTTCAAAACAAGAAATCTTCGGCAACATAATCTTCTCTGTCCTCACTCGTAGCTACAATGGGCGGGATGAGTGTAATGCATATTTTGCCCAGTGACAGAAGCAATAGCTCGTACCACCATAATACATCATTAGCAGAACCAAATTCATCCCGATTATCACTCATCACGCCTGAAAAACTATCAATTTGGCATCATTTGACACATTCCTTACCAATTCTATCGTTATGAGAAATACATCCACAAAGCGATAGCTCACAGGGCGACGGCATTTATGATTCATTGCGTACAAGATCATCAGCAATATATTTCTCAAGTTTGGTGAGGAGTCTGAGTGTGACCGATTGCTTTGTCGTCGAATAGTATCGATGTTGTTAGAGCAACCACGAGTTTGAACGTCATTTCAAATTAAACTACACAGAATTCCCAGAAATTGTTGTCCAGTATGGAACAATATCACTATTTTTTATCAGATTTAAAAAAAAAACAGACGGAAGCCGTCGTTCTTCTCAAAAGTCATTTCAATCAACGATTTTACGGACCTTCCAAAACAAGAAAGTGTTGGTTTGTGATTGAATTGGTTGACAGGTAAAAGGTATCAATTCACGTTAGTAATTCAGCGTCAAAAGTAAACTGATTAAATCTGGGCATCGGTAACAGCCGTGTACGTAAATAGATGACTTGACCGCCTCCGCGGTCAAGTGGATAGAGCGCCTGCCCGGGGAGCGGAAGGTCGGTGCATTGATCCCCGGTTGCGTCATACCAAAAGACGTTAAAATATGGTACTTGTTGTTACCCTGCCTGGCGCTCGGGATTAAGGGGCTAAAACAAGGACTGGTCGGCTCGGAGTCAGTATCTCAATACTGTTTTTAAGTTCAACTGGGGCATGGTATCTCAGTGGGTTAGCACTAAAAAGTCGGCAAACACACACACACACACACACACACACACACACACACACACACACACACACACACACACACACACACACACACACACACACAGACACACACACAGACACACACACACACACAGAGACACACACACAGACACACACACACACAGACACACAGACACACAGACACACACACGTACGACTATATAAGTACGACAATCTCGAACGCGACGTTAAACGTTAAATCCCTTGCCTCCTCACCCGATAGGCGAACCGTTGTTCGAGGTGTGCTTGAGATAGTTGAACGACCAAGTTCAAAATGGGTTTCATTGTGAGCCTTATGGCTAATCATTTTGTCATTGCTTTTGGTTTCAGTGCTAGTATGCCCGATGGCCTAGATTCGATTTCCAACATGGGTTTAGTGAATGAAGTCAATTTGTGGTGTACCCCGTCTTGCTGGAATATTGCTAAAAGCGGCGTAAAACTTAACTCACTCACTAAATACTCAGATCAGAAAATCTATAATTCTTTCATGGATAAAACCAGGGACTACAGGGGCTTTACTGTTGCACAGTACTTGAACAAAAAATAAGAAAACAGTAAAGTAAGGAGATGTTAGACAAGGCAGAGGTTAATATATAAAAAAATGTTCATGTACGCCCACTTCATTTGGCAAGTCTAGATTACTGCAGTGTCTGAAAATGGAGTTGTCCCTGGGCTCCTTTTAATTATATTTCACTATCAACAACTGCTTTTATCTATAAATATGTTCACGTCAGAGACAAAAAGTTAGTCTAGACCTGATGCTAGATTGAAACTCCATGACATCTAAACGCTTGTGGGAGATGGAGATTTGTGAGCCGTCATTGATGTTGAAAAACGGGTTGACAGCATGTTCAGCCTCGACGACAACCCTTGCGAGATACGCCGCGCTCTTTGGGGACAGAATCTTACGAGACACACCTGACGGAATTTCTTTCCCAGCATACAATAAAACAAGAAATTAGTTGCGGAATTTAACATGATCAACAAGTCTCGACTGAAAAAGAACACGCTTCTACTTCGATGACACTGCGATACCAGTAGTTCTTTAGGAATTATAACATCGTCCAAAATTGCCATAAATGGGTATGCGATGAAAAACAATGTCGTAACAGCAAGGACTGCGAGAGTCATACGTTTGTCCATCTTATTTGACCGGTACCATCTGGACAGGCTACTGGAACGTCTACGACTCCAGATTGCCCGGATGATGAGAAGGTTTAAAACAAGCATGGCTATCCAAGGTAAAATATACATGCAGATAAGTTGGACATGGAATTTGTAAATCTTTAAAAACGGGCTGTTCCATAGCTTTGTGAAGCTGGGTTGGATCCATGTCCCACCAATGGCCGGTTCGTAGTATGTTTCAAATTTGAAAGAGATGTAGTATGGGATGTTGTAGATGAGGGAGACACAGACGACTCCCACGATGACGTAAATTGGCACGTTACTGTCACCGAACGTCATGCCGGAAAACGGTCTCGTTATTCCGACATATCTCTCCGTTGCTATGGTGAGCGTCATGGAAACCGTACCAGTCTGACCTATTTTCTGGAGACTAACCAAAAAGGGCATGAAAGCCAGTTTGATGTAGAGGTCTGCATATAGCGTGACTACTTCCAGAATCAAGGTCATCAGAATAATGTTATCAAACCCGGCGAGACACATCAGAAAGTAGGACGTAGGACTTCGCATATTCCGATGGGATAGCACAATAATTGACAACGTGTTTCCAATTATACCAAACACAGCTAGGGTCGTGCCGACACCTCCTCTAATGACGAGGTAATCTGCAAACACATCCTCGCACGTTCCGTTAAGCGGATATATCTCCGCTAGGGTGTGATTTGCCTCGCTTCCGGCGTTCCACTGAGAAGAGTTAACAAATTCCTCCGCCAGCATATCTGATGGAGCTGACACATTCATTGTTGGTATGCTAGGTACAGCAGCACTGGACTTCGATGTTATAATACCCTACTAATTTAGTAGTTACTTCAGGATAATTTCATCTTTCCTCCATACACAGGAACAAACTGATTTTCTTCCGAAGTGTAAGCACACTTCATCTGTCACTGCAACATGCTCGGGAACATAATGCGAATGTAAGCTCCAGGCTTGAGTAGTTAAGTGTCGTGGTAACTTGATGGCCGACCCCGTCTTTTGAAAGTACATCGATGTCACCAACACTCTGAAAAAGACCAATATGGGCATTAGTTCTGATAGAATATGGACACAACAGTTGACAGTCACGACAGTCACGACCTTCACGACCGTTTCCTTCAGAGGATGTTTTCGGAATTCCATTTCCTGAGAAGAGATTCTACATTAGGCCAGATTTTTCAATTTTTGGGTAATGGATTTGATAGAGAAACATCATTTGGGCGGTAGGTCTAAAATAATTGAAATATATTGTATTACTAGCTATACATTTATGTACACACTTGACAACGTTCATGATGTCAGTTTTACTTGATTGATGGGCCGACTTCGATTTGGATCGGTAGGAGTAAAAAATACAAATCTTGGCCTACTTTGAGTCCTTTTAAGTAGTATTAATCTGAGAGCAAGCCTTCGTTGTATTTTTTTGTCAATGTGATCTCTACCCTAGTCGTAAAATATAAAAACCCCATGATTCTGATGTTTTTTCTTCTGAATTTTCATTATTTATTTAGAATTTTTAGAATTTTTTTTATTGGTCAGCTGATTCGTAATATAGCAAAAACTAATGTAAGACCTTAGTTTCTTATAATACGCTGAAAACATTCTATATGGATAAAATACTGGCCGTAGGGGAAAACGGTGGAAGCGCATTATTTCCGCTGATGTCTGATATATAGGATGCGTTTAGCGTCCATTCCTGCTCCAGGGAAATATTAACATATAAAGCTAAATATTGTACATACTTTAAGGAGTATCTGTTCATATTAAAAAGTTTTCGACAGTTTATGATATTTGTTACCTTAATATGTTATTACTATACGTAGAGCTGGCACTTTAGAAGATCTTCAGTACAGGGAATTCTATCAACGCAGAGAGCTACCAACGGTTCTCGATTGAGAGATAAAAGACCCAATCCCTTGGAATATATTGTTCCTGGAACCACTTTTACGTCGTGTTCTTGGTTTATTTACAAAGTAACACACAAACAAGTATATGTACGTCAGGGTAATCGTAATCATGCTTGTTCTTTAACTTGCTAATACTATAAGGTCAAGTAGTCTATACTTTATTTACTTCATTAATTTAATCTAATTGATATAACATACCTTATTGTCAAACACAATTAAACCAACGATTATCGAAACACTCTATACATACACCTATAAATAAAAATAACAGGTATTAGTGTCATTTGCAGTTGGTATATTTATGAATACTGCTATACAGTAGTTGTTGATATGTTTTTTTTTAAGTTTACGTTAAATTAACGATTCACAAAGGCAGCTCCATTAAGCATTAATGATCACGATACTCACTCACTCAATAACCATGCATGACATATTGCTTGAAATTATACATACATGAACGTTTATAAATCCCATTACATTGACACGTTAGCAGTGGGTAACAATAATTACTGCTATACAATATCGGTATTACTTATTATTCAGTGAAATTAACGCTGCATATAGCAGGGTAGCTTCAATAAGCATTAATAATCATAATATTCAAACCGGCGTTAAACCAAACCCGCTCACTCACTTATATATTAAATAACAATACAAAATACACTGCGTTAAAATATACACATATTGACGATTATAAATCTCATCATATTAAAATTGTGAAAGATCCCGGTTTGGGTACCACTGGACCATTTTAGGAATCGAACCACGACCTTTCAATCAGCGTGACCTGCGATCGTTTAACCGATAGGCTACACCTACGACCCCATTATTGTGAAGACCATTGACATGGTCTTCAACGATGCTTCCTCTGGCTCAGAGAGGAGTTAAATTCAGAAACAGATCTACATAAGGAGTATGGGGCAGTTGTCGACAAAACACTTTACATTGAATAAAATGAATGTTTAAACTCCAACTTCCATAAATATAGACACGGAGGTAGATAAATACACAAAGTAAAAATACACTTGAACAAACAGTGCCACCAGAACAAGTCATGTTTACATCGTGGACACAGAACATGCATTTGGGGCCCCTTATATCCTTACTTAATTGAACTTAATTTGGTACTGGTTGAGTCACAACCGGAGGCGAACTGCGCGTACGTGACTTGACAAGCGTTGAAGTGACAAGCTGGACCAACATAGGATGTAAAAGCGCCAGCAGTCAAAGACGGTATGCTAGAAATACCACCAATTGGTAATTAAGGTATGGTGTCAACCTTCAACAAACAGTCTGTTATAGATAGTGTCAGTCTTCAACAAACAGTCTGTTACAGATGGTGTCATTCTTTAACAAACAGTCTGTTACTGACAGTGTCATTCGTTAACAAACAGTCTGTTGCAGATAGTGTCAGTCGTAAACAGTCTGTTACAGATGTGTCATTCGTTAACAAACAGTCTGTTACAGATGGTGTCATTCCGTAACAAACAGTCTGTTACAGATGGTGTCATTCGTTAACAAACAGTCTTTTACAGATGGTGTCATTCGTTAACAGTCTGTTTTAGATGGTGCCATGCGTTAACAAACAGTCGGTTACAGATGGTGTCATTCTGTAACAAACAGTCTGTTACAGATGGTGTCATTCGTTAACAAACAGTCTTTTACAGATGGTGTCATTCTTTAACAAACAGTCTGTTACTGATGTTGTAATTCGTTAACAAACAGTCTGTTACAGATTGTGTAATTCGTTAACAAACAGTCTGTTCAAAACATTGTCATCCTTTAACGAACAGTCTGTTTCAGATGCCATTCTCCAACAAACAGTCTGCCGGACGTAGTCAGCCTTTAACAAACGACCTGTCATAGATGTTGCTGATGCAAATAGGGATTCAGCCTAAACTGCATTTATCTTTGGCTGTGTGATGACCTAATCACTAAATGGGCAGTCTGTCTATAAATGCTATAAATAATTGCGTTGTCAATCATGATTAACAATTTAGGACATGTTTACATATGAGCGGTCGTACTGCTGGACATTTTTTGGAAGACGGTTTGTAGGAGGAAAAACAGGAAGGAAATATTGATCGAATGGTCATTTCGAGAGAAGCAAATATTTGTGGTGATGGGACTACATGAAGGACTAATTCTAAGTGATACTATTTGATAACTTTAAAGAAGGACTGTGGTCAATAGTAAAAAGAACATATCCAGTCCAGGACCGAAATAACTGATACCGTTTTCCTTAAGCAACGTTTGGCTTTTGGTGAATTTTGGTGTGTACTGACCATAACTAGAGACACACTTTCCCCCATACCAACATTGTAAAGAAGCGAGAGAGGTCCCTGAAGACTCAAGGCCTATTCTTGTTTCACTTTGTTCGTCGGGGTGAAATTATTTAAGGACTATTTTAATGATGTTCTATATCCAATGGTAATATGACTTTTCCTATACAAGGTAATACAAAATCGCTCAGAAGTCCCAAGAACAAATACTATTTTTTGCTGGTTTAATCATATATGACGGAAACGTTCAGTGGAACGTGGTTGATATTTGGTTTCTAGAACATAATTTCTGTTTTAATGGTATATTAGCCCTACTGAGATTCCAGGTTATAAAAGGCCCTCGGCAATCTATGTTGGCCTGCCGCGGAGATTAAAAAGGGCCGGTGGGACTCCCGAAGTCCCCACGTAACTGTGAAGGCAACAAACCACTCCTACAGAGACACCGGAGGCATGATGCCGTTTATTTACGTTCTTAAGGCGCTTGATTTCTATACTGATTACATCTTGTGAAATTTGGGGATGGGACATTTAGGCAAGGACAATAGAAATGAACTCCATTTGTGCTCCCTCTCCTTGGTTTTCTTTTTTCTGTCCACAGGAATCGGTCTTTCAGCTCGGAATGGCAAAATCACAAAGGAATTTGGCCAAGATTTAAACTTCAGGTATATCGATGATTTTATATCGTTCAAGAATGACCAATAACCATTTCTCTTCCACTGTTTACCCACCTGAACTATAAACAGAAGTTGACCGTGAAGCTGCCTAATCTGGTTTTTATTTAGATGTAAAAAAACTATCCACAAGACTGTGTTACAAGAGGGATAACTTCAAGTTTGAGACAAAATCTTCCATGGAAATGAGAGTGCCTGTTGAGTTAAGTGCTTATCCAAAGATACCATATGTTAGATAAAAGCGTATCAGAGGTACTGGGCCCCAGCACGTTGGTCGTAGTTATTATCTGCAAGTACCATTCCCGTATGTTCAGTATGAGGTGAGGTGAGGTGAGGTGTGTGTGTGTGTGTGTGTGTGTGTGTGTGTGTGTGTGTGTGTGTGTGTGTGTGTGTGTGTGTGTGTGTGTGTGAGATACCATGTCGCAGTTTAACGTGGATAACCAAGGTAGTCATTATACTGACTCCCAGCCGACCATGATGTTGATGCAGGTTTACGTCAAGTACCACTTTTTAGCGTATTTTTAGCGACCTTTGGATCGAACCACCGTTCTTCCGGTCACCAGGCAGACCCACCACGGAGGAGGTGACCAACGATGAAAATGACGTGAAATGAGACAATTGCGACTGTTTTCATGCCCTTGAATTGTATCTTCATTGATTTCTTTTATCGGATGGGCAACTTAAAGACATGTTACCTCTCACAAATATGGAAATCTGATTCCCCATCGATTATTTTCTGTTCCTGCATGTATATCTATTCATGAACAAACAAGCAACAAGGTTGGCTAACGAGAAATTATTACCTTATCCGTTCGAATTCCGAGAAATCTTATTATAATCAGATCTAAGTTCTCGCTGCCGCTGAACAAAGATCTAAGGACATCCCATTACGGGTCACGTCAGAACGACCTTTCTCGAACTTTGACCGACAACTGAAATTAGAAAGAAGAAGTCGACATCAGCCAATTAGAAAGCAGCTTTCTCGATTTTTAGGGCACTCGTTTCAACCTGACGACTTCCATTTCAAACTACGCTTGAAAAATATGTTGACACAGTTCTCGATTAAAATTTTGAAAACTGAACAAACGAACATTCCGGAATGTCTAATATATAGTTGCGATTGTATGGCAGTGCTTCCCACGCACTGTGCAACGCCTCCTCCGTTCA